TGTACCTGTACCTGTCTTCTGCTTTCTTCACTACTGACTAAAGCATATGCTTGTGATAGTGAGACACTTTCCTTGGACAGAATATTTTGTTTTGTGATGTCATATTTAGGGTTTAGCCCAGTTAAGAACTCAAAAACCCTGTTCCTTTCAACTAATTTCCTGTAGGTCTCTGCATCATTTCGAATATCCCATGTCACTGCCTCTATTAGATCAATTTCTTGCCACAGAGATTTCAAGGTGGAGAAATATGTTGCWAGGGATTTCTCCCCCTGTCTCAGATTCTTCACATCACTCCTTAGTTTATAGGCTCTGGCTACATTCAGTTTCTAGGAGTACGTTTCTGCAACACTATCCCAGATTTCCTTAGCCGAATTCATCCAGAGATAATGCTGACTAATCTGTGGCTGCATTGAATTCACAAGTCACCCAATCACTGTGTAATTCTCTTGCACCCATTTCTCATAAGAGGGATCATCCACTAGGGGAGCTTTCTTGCTCCCAGAGATAAACCCCCACTTTCCTCTACTACAAATATGAATTTTTACAGATTGTGACCAGGCCAAATAATTGGTTCCATCTAGTTTAACTGTAGTTACAGCCAACAAGGAATCAATTGTAGTTCCCGAAGTATGTCCATATTCAACAATACTCCTCTTGTTCTCAATTTCTGAGAAGTCCATTATGTAACAACTTCAATTAGGGTTTCGGCAAGCCTCCAATAGTATACTGATTTTAAAGAACTCAGATTGAGTTGAATAAACAACAAACACAACAACTCACAAACTCAGTTCAGGCCTAACAGCCATGAGAACCAAGTTCGGTGGCAGCACTTTCAAGAAGAAGAAGGCCTGATTCAGCCTTAAAGGAACAATCAACCGACCTCCAAACACTATGTATTCTTGGTTCCCAACAATATTTTCCCAAAGAGAACAAAAAATATAATCCACAGTACTTAAGAGGCCTTTTTACAAACACTATGTATGCAGCAGTCAACACTTCATTGTTAACTAGCAAGAATCACTTCAAGAACACTCCGTATAGGTTCAAGAAGTAGCTGAACTAAAGTAGAGACTCGTACCACTGAGCCCAAACAAGTTTTGGCCACTTGGCAGTCCAATAAGATAAGAAAATAACCCAGAAATCTCTGAGTAAAAACAGTCCAGCAACAACCGAACAATAGAGCAGATATAGAGGAGTTTCGAGTACTTTAATAGCTCCCCAAATCAGAAAAATAMCCCARYAACAACTCAGCAATAACTGAAGCAACTTACAGTCGTATGAATCTCTGATTTGAGCTTCAAATCAGGCCGAACAATCTATCTCTCTGATTCTTCCTGGTCACCGAACTAATCTCCAAGTGAATAAAGTCTTGGGCACCCTTCAATGACCTCCAAGAGTCAGGCAAGTGAGTCTAAACTTCCAGCCCTAAAACACCCTCATGCAGTCGGCTGGATTACAACCACATGAGAGCCACGCTAAGCTCAGTCCCGCTCTAATACCAAGTTGAAAAACAGTCCTAGAAGTATGGGACTGTGCAAGAAAACCAGAAAAACTAACAAGAGAAGATTAGAGAAGGAGAGAGAGAGAGAGAGAGAGAGAGCTGCGACAAGGAGAGTTAGAGGATGAGGAGTTCGAACTAAACCTCCCTCTAACACTCTAATACTCTTTTATTAAGTTAATCTTTGAGTAATTACAAGAGAGGTCCTTAGTTGAACAAGAAATTACAAAAAAGAAACATAGAAGAGTATGGGCCCAGAATAAGGCCCATTATAGAGAAGAACATAAAGATAATATAAAGTAACAGCCTATGGGCCATTCGGCCCATCTTCTCTACACCCTTCAACCCCTCACCTAATCAATTAAGTCGGTTTCTCTAGGTATCCATCTGAACAAGCTGTCCACCCTAGAAACCTAACTCTACTTTCTCCAATATGATGACTCAAGGACCATGGACCAAGAGGTCTGTTGTGATTGACAAACAGGGAATAATTCTCAATTTCCACTCCCTCTACACCAAGGAGAATAAAATTCTCATGCATTGGAGAAATGTGAATGATCTAGCGGAAATAGAACCACCCTAACAGTGGACCTAACCAAAATAATAGTGCTACTTTGATCTCCATAAGCTCCATCATTACCATATTTTTTTTTGGTCACACCATCATTGCCAGTTGGTCCTACTTCACATATAATTTATAAGGTGTAACCAACAGCCAAAAATATTTGAACAAAGGAAATGCTAAGGCATTAGAATTTACTTTTGGTTTCCTTCCTATAGCTTTACGACCTTTTTTTGGTAAGTTAATAGCTTTAGTACTTCTACAAACCCATTTTTTATAAATACAGTTTATCCCTACTCGAATAATAAACCAATCCAAACTTAACAATTCATCTAAATACTTGTCATAGTTGAAAGTTGAAACAAATTCTCCAAAACTTGGTCCAAGCAAATTAGGTTATTTGAATTTTGGACCAATGTTTTAAAACACAGAGGTGTGAAGCCAGGCTTCCACTACCCAGAGGCATGAGGTGTACTTCAGAATGCAAGAGGTGCAGTAAGCCTCTCAAGCACAGGAAGCATAGTTCTTCTTTCCTTTGTTCCTATCTTCCTTTGCTTTGCTTTTCCTTTCTTTCTTTTCTTTCTTTCTTCCTTTCTGCATGAGGTGCATGAGGCATACAAGAGGCACACGCCCCATGCAAAAGGTGTTTGAGGTGTATGCCTCAAAATGCTTTTTAAAACATTGATTTGAACTACATAAAAAAGTGTTCTTGAACACAACCAAATAAGATCTATGTGAAGTTTCCTAATTCCTACATCAGGTCTTAGTTACCTTGCCAGGACTTTTCAAATAGACTTAGTGGGACGCAAGGGGACTTGTAAATGGTGGCCAAATAATTGTATCAATTTCATTTTAATGAAAAATGCAATCCATGAAACATTGAAAAAAAAAAGATAGTTGCAATTAAGTTTGATTTTATAAACGTATGTCATTTCTCCAGTAAATTGATGAAACAACTTACAATTGAACTTCTAGTGCTATTGGTAATCCTTTCAAACAACAATATCACACTTTACGGGCTAGGGTCCTTTGCTTTGTTGCATGTTGGACCACTTTTTCCTCCACAGGGAGGCCTTTCCGCCGCCTCACAGCATCAATAAGTTTCCTTGCTGTGTTTGGTAGAACATTTGAACCATCTCCAAATTCTTCAATCTCCTCTTCTGTTTTGGGTACGAAAAAAGGATCCTCAGAAAGTGCCTCCCAATGGCTAAGTACAAGTAGAGCACTTGAAGCTCCAGAAGTCCATCTCCTAAGCTCATCTGCAAACCCAAAGCTTTCAGCAACTGGTACATATGCATGTACACTAAATAATGGAGATCCTTCTTGCATCTCTTCCTTCAAAACTCGGGCCCGCCTCCTGGAGAGAACAGCATACATGGGACCCAGATATTCAGTTGGTGTGTTCAGTTCACAGAAATACATGGCTTCCACTAGCCAAGGTTTCTTCTGAAGCACAGCTGCCCTGCATGCATCTTTGACAGCTGCCATAACCTGCCCTGAAAAAATTCCATATTGATCTAGTTGCTGAGTTGAAGATTCAGACTCATCAGAATGCACCCCTAATGGAACAATATAAGCTTCTACAAGAAATGCCAAACCCCACATGGGTTCATCACACAATGGTCCAGCTGCCGTAGCTAGTTGGAACCCAGATACCACACTGCTCTCAAGATTCTCCACTTCCACGTACAATGATTGATCAGGTATATCTTCATCTCTATTTTTCATCCTACCTACATCCACAAACCCCAATCGCTCTGATACATTTGGAGAGCCCCTAATAAGAACAGAACCATTGATCTTTGAACCTTTGGAATTGGGAACAAGGAGGATATTAGGACCCACCTGCCTAGGTCCAAGTGCCCAAATCCTATGAAGAAATTGATGCCACAGACTTCTATATTTCTCAATTCTTTCCTTATCTATTTCTTTACTTCCAGTTTTGATTTCACTCTCTACAGCATTGACAATGTATTTCTTAAGTGTTTCAATTGGATCATCACCTTCAACAGTACACTTTCCTCTCTGTGTTCCCAAGATTTGGTTTCTTTGTCCTGGTTTGCCTTCTATTATTTCTCCAAGTAAATCTGCACTTTCGTCAAGCAGCTTAGTGAGCATAGGTGGAAGTTTCATGACATGCACTCGAATAACACATCGTCCATTTGGTGTTGTCTTCTCAATATAATCAGAGCTAGCAGTTAATACCTTTAAATTCTCTAGTGGATTAGATCCCTCCCCTTCAATGGTTTCTTTATAAGAGACAAGGGGTGGCGAGACTTCCAGGCTTACCCTCGCAAATCTTTCTTTCAAATCGTTTATGCATCTCTCAAGATGAACCTCTCCTGCAGCTGCAAGCACCTGTTCCCCCCTTGCAGAAACAGTAACCTCTACAAAAGGATCTGCTCGATTCAGAAGCCTGAGACCCCGAATAAGTGCACCCATATCTGCTGGATCAGAAGGTTCAATTGCCACTCTCAAAGTTGGAGCAACTTGGAAAACCATACTTGATAGAGGCCAACAATTTCTTGTGGATGAGAGAGTGGCACTCTTCAAGATATACTGCCCAAGGCCTCGAATTGCCACAACATTTCCTGCCTTTACAGAAGCCACGGGCTTCAAGCCTTGCCCCATCATTAGATACAAGGACTCTAGCTCTGCTTCCTGTACATGCTTCTGCATTGATTCCCCTCTCAATGGATCATATAAAGCTGTCAGCACAAATATTCTTTGTCCTGAATAAAGAACCCCACTGAAAACCCTTGCAAAGGCTAGGAAACACTCATCTGATTCCCCGGCCCCTCCTTCTTCCATGAAATTGTTCACAACTTCTCCATTCGGTCCCCTTTGAGGGAGCATTTTTAATGGCACAGCAAACATCTTAGATACAAAAGCAACACATGGAGCTTCTGGGCCAGAATCACAAGCCTCAACAGATTTTCTGATTTGTTCTGCCTCTACAAGCACATCAGAGTTATCCCCATTGTCCACTACCTCCCTCTTTGGAAGCAACCGTGAGATCCGAAAAGACTGAGCTGTAATGGGACCAGGCATACGTTTAACCACCATGGATAAGATTGTATCAGACAAAGGAAGCCAGCGGCTCATGATAGCTTGAAGCACAACTTTTGGGTCCTTGTTCTGAAGCTCGCGAGAAGGTATAGACAAATTGAATGACTTCATGACTTTCTCCAGCAATTCCTTCTCTCCATCGGATTCAAGAGCTGCCCGATAGACATTCCAGAGTGGTTCAAGCACAAACTGCACAAACATCGTCCGAGCCTTACTCAAGTTACTGATTCCCTTCTTTCCCACAATCATCTTGGTCTTAGGATTATAATAGTGAGGACCCCACAAAGCCTTCTGCAACGCAGCTGCACTTGCCCCAAGTTTTGAAGCATAGAAATCGGCAAACTTGCTAATGCAAAAGCCCCAACCATCCAAAGCACAAACAAAAGCCACATTTCCCTTTTGGGGTTGGAAAGTGTCTTCTTCATCGTCATCCACAAACTCCTGATTCTCAACCCCCATCTCACCGGCAGAGGCAGCAAGTATGGAATCTACATCGGAAAGATACTTCTCTGACTTGTATCCACTCACAATCCCATTAACTTCGTGAACAATCCTCTGCAACCGATTATAAGCTTCTTCAGGACTCAATTTTAGTTCTGTGATTAACCGATCAACTTTGTTGAGGACCAGACAAGGCGTAAGCTTCTCTATCCATGCCTGGCGCAGAACAGCGTGGGTCTGTATATGAACTCCCTCAACAGCATCTACCAGGATCAAGGCACCATCACTCAATCGAGCAGCAGTCGAGACCTCGCAGCAGAAATCCATGTGCCCCGGAGAATCTATTAGATTGATAGAGTAGTCATTGTATTTGAGAGCTATAGAGGAACTCTTCATTGTAATTGCCCGCCTCTGCTCTTCGTCGAGGTAATCCATAAACCTCAGTCGACCAGCTTGCTTCGGGTGGAGTAACCCACCAGAATAGCCCGCAATGAGATGATCAGCAAGTGTAGTCTTGCCATGATCAACGTGGGCAAGAATGCAAATATTTCGAACTTTCCGGCAATCAAAATCACTCATTTCAACCACAAATCAAACTCGAACCCAATTAGTACCAACGAGCAAACACCAGAAAGTTGTCAATTCAATTTAGCCAAAACAAGAAACCATCAACCGGGTTTTCCTTTTCCTCTCTAAGAGAAATTTAAGGGTTTTGCTTGGTAATTGGTACTCAAATCTCTCAACCAAAAAGAAGGGGATAAACGATTTTTTAATGGTTGAAACCTCACAAAACCAAGAAGTTACATCAGTGAATTGGTTTTGTTGGGTTCTTTTCCACGGAGGATTGGAGAGACCCAAGTAATGATTCTGTACTCTCTGCGACTATTCTGGATTTCTGGGAGACTTGAATTAATTTGAAACAACGGGAGGGTTGCAGCGGCTCGCTTTTAAGTTTTAACGTGCAGGCTTTCCTGCGTTTAAAATTTGTTAAGTGGGTTTGAGGTCATTTTATCAATGTCAAAAGGTTTCGGGTTTGGGTATGGGTGACCCTAATATCTTGCACATCAGTTCAAAGAGCTTGGTCAAGCGATGGGCGGGCCACCATCCCGAGTCCCGACGACGGACGAGTCTCTGATCATGGTGCGGGCCCGGAATTATTTTATTTCACGACTTGCGATATTTCAGCGCCGAGAGGACAAGCCGCGAGGCAGCCAGAATGGAATACGGACGCCATATAACAATTCTTAAACAGTTTGTTGTTCCTTCGGTTCCGCTTCGTGTGTGAGAAGTCATCTACGTGTGGATAGAGATAGCACCATAGCAGGAGAGAGAAAGAAAAAGAGGGAGAGAGAAAGAAAAAGAGGGAGAGAGAGCGAGAGAGCGAGAGAGCGAGAGCGAAGAGGAAGAGAATCATTTGGAGCTGCGACGATCCAGAGAATAGGAGCTCCTGTGGTCGGCCTCCAATTCAATCTTTGAGTTCGTCGAGCGAAAATCTGTTCCAGAGGTGAGTTTATTTCAAGGCGATCTCATTGATTTCTGCAAATTTGGGGGTATTGGCAAGTTGCAATTGGTTGAATTCGTAGAGATCTTCATAGTTTTAGGGTTTGGAAGCCTTGTTTGGGCAGAAGATCTTGGTAGTTTGGCTTAGGTTTGTTATGGGTGAGCTCTGCCTTGGGAGCTTGTAGGTAGGAACGCCAAGGTTTTGGGTTAGGGCGGGTGCGGGAGACAGAAAGCCAGTCATGAAAGGCCGGTCGCATCGTCTGCCAATATCTGAGCCTCCCGATGACTGGGGGGATGGCTCGTGGACGGTGGACTGCGTTTGTGGTGTGAACTTCGATGACGGGGAGGAGATGGTGAACTGCGACGAGTGCGGTGTTTGGGTGCACACCAGGTGCTCGCGCTTCGTGAAGGGGGAAACGTCGTTCGCATGTGACAAGTGCAAGAGTAAGAAGAATAGGAATGATAGCGAGGAGACCGAGGTTGCCCAGTTGCTCGTTGAGCTCCCTACCAAGACTATGAGGATGGACAACCCGTATCCTGCGTCTGCGCCCCCTCGGACTTCTTTTAGGCTTTGGACTGAGATTCCTATCGAGGAGAGAGTACATGTCCAGGGCGTTCCTGGTGGTGACCCTGCCCTCTTTCAGGGGTTGTCGTCAGTTTTCACTCCGGAACTTTGGAAGTGCACCGGTTATGTACCCAAAAAGTTGAATTTCCAGTATAGGGAATTCCCCTGCTGGGATGAGAAGCAAGATGTTGATGCCAGAGCTGAGGAAGAAAACGAGAATCCTGTTGACAGAGGTGCTGGTGTTCTTTTTTCCTTGTCCAAGGAGCTTGTCTCTGTGACCCCTGTAGAAACATTCATTGGTTGGAGAGGTTCACGTGAGGGAGCTGGGTATGAGAGGAAGCAATCGCCAAAAGAGACGAAGAAACGGGAGGGCAAGGATTCAGTTTTTGGGCGTATGCACAATGGCGTCAAGAGAGAGAAAAACCAACTTCAGCCTTCTGGAGTCCATTCTGGTAAGAGGAAGAAGGACGACGTAGGGTCATCCAAGGACAGAAGTGGAAAGAGGAAGGCTAGAACTGCTGATAAAGAGGCTGATAATAAGAAGAGAGGTAAGTCGGCCAAGTTGGGTTAGTTTAACTTTTTAATTTATTTGTTGCATGACATATTTATGTTGGGAAAAATTCTGCTATTCCATTGGTAATAACTAGCTTTGAGAAGCTTGGTGTAATTTTACATGCTCTGCTTGCTAGTTTCAAATTCTTTTCCAGTAAGCTTACAACATGCCTACATCAGCCCAACTACTTATTCTTTTTGGTCGTGTATGTTTTACTTTTCTAGTCTATACACCTGCAATTGATGCACAAAAGTTGGAGTTCCATGAAGATGGAGGTTCTAAGGCTGTGAAGGATGACTCTCAAGATGCAAAGAATGATGATAAGAGGGAAACTGTTTTTCATGAATCTGATTCACATGCTTGTCTTGAAGCCATCAATAATATGAACAAGCCTATGAACGTTTCAACAGCTAAGTCCCATTCTGCTGGAGACATCTCCAATGATGCATCTGGAGATATTGCTCCAATTGAGACAGTGCAAAAGGCAGAAAAGGTTGACACTCAAATCCCACCAAAGAATTTGAGTTCACCCAAAACTGTTGCTAATGCAGCTTCACATTCGGAGACAACTTATGTTAGCAGTATTCCTGTAAAAGAAGAGGTATGCTTTGATATCCTCTTTTTAGTTTGTTGCATGTCATGTCCTGCTTTGCTCTTCTGTTTTTTATTGCAACAGAGTATGCCTATTTTCTTGCAAATCAGGGAAAACAAACTCCAACTTTGTTCAAGAAAGGTAAAATCATGGTAGTCTAGTGGAAGATTTTGTTCATTCGTCTGCATAAAGGTTCTGAAAATTATAATCATATTGTGAGTTGTGTATGTGCGTATATTTTTCTTCCTGGGGGGGGGGTTACATGAATCCAGGTATGAATTGTATCTTAAATTATAAATATAAAATTTGTCAAACAAAAAGAAAAAGGAAAAACGGTTTCCTTGCATTTCCAGCCTGGCCTATGGCCCATCATAAGTTATTGCACCATCTTATCAGATACACGTGGTACACTATAGCTGATATATCAGTTTTAGCTTCCAACTTGATAGTAAATTAACTCATGAAGACATGTTTATTTTAGCTCATGATTTGATGAAAAACAAAGGTTCCTAATCCTTATTTTTTCTTTTAGATAGTCAACAAGAAGACTATATTAGTAGTGATCAACAAAGATTTAGAGAATAGGAATCAATCCTGATACAGTTGAAAAAAAGAATAGAAGGAAAGGCCCCCCTTTAGTTGGATTGTTTTTTTTGATAAATCCCCTTTTAGTTGGATTATTCGTAAAGAGATTTTACTAATTTGGGAATATATCTAAATGGGATGTTCACAGG